TTTTAGTAGAGACGGGGTTTCACCATGTTGACCAGGATGGTCTCAATCTCTTGACCTCGTGATCCACCCGCCTCGGCCTCCCAAAGTGCTGGGATTACAGGCTTGAGCCACCGCGCCCGGCAATATTAAGTAAATTTTTAAGGAAAAAAAAAATCTCTGGACAAACTGCCTAAATATTCCTTAGAGTGCCTAGACTAGAGAAAATGGAAAAAGACACCCACAAAGCCCATACCATTCTACCCTTAGGAAGTCTTTAGAAACCCAAGGCTGGGCGAGGTGGCTCACGCCTGTAATCCTGGCACTTTTGGAGGCCGAGGTGGGAGGACTGCTTGAGGCCAGGAGTTTGAGAGTTGTCTGGACAACATAGTGAGACCTCGTCTTTACAAAAACACACAAAAATTAGCTGGGCATGGTGGCTTGCACCTGTAGTCCCATCTACTCGGGAGGCTGAGGTGGGAGGACAGCTTCAGCCCAGGAGATCGAGGCTGCAGTGAGCTATGATTGCACCACTGCACTCTAGCCCGGACAACAGAGGGAGACTCCAACTCAAACACAAGGAAATCACATATTGTAGGATTCTATTTATATAAAATGTCCATGACAGGCAAACCCATAGAGACAGAGAGTGGAGTCGCAGTTGCCAGGGGCTATGCAGGGGGTAGGGAAATGGGAGTGACTCATAGGCATGAGATCTCTTTTTGGGGTAATGAAATTCTCTAAAATTGATTGTGGTGATGATTATACAACTCTGTAACTATAATAAAAACCATGAAATTGTATACTTTAAATGGGTAAATTGCATGGTATGTGAATTACACCTCAACAAAATAAAGCTACTACCAAAACAAAACAAAACCCTGGGCAGATACAGAAACTCTCAAGAGCAGCTTTATAGTTCAGTTACTTGTCATTGTGTGCCTCCCAGGTGCAGACAGGACATCTGCCGGGGGGACCTCAGCATCCCCTCCCCCCACCGGAGAGCCGGGGCTCCTTACCCAGTGAAGCCTGGGGGGCTGGCTGTTGGATGTGGCGAAAAAGGTCACTGAAGCCAAGGCTGTGCCTGCGATCACCACCACGACCCAGACAGGAACGAGGCCGCCTATCTCATAGACACCGTCTACAAAGGGACAGAAAGGGAGCTGGTACCCTCCCAGCTGCCTCAGAATGACAGAGGGGTTCTGGGACTGAGACCTGCAGATAACACCCACTTAGAACAGACTGTTTGGATGTCAGGTAAGCACTTCCTATGTGCCTGAGACTTAGCTGGGCGTGGTGGTGGGCACCTGTGGTCCCAGCTCCTTGGGAGGCTGAGGTGGGAGGATCACTTGAGTCCCGGGAGGTGGAGGTTGCAGTGAACTGAAATCACACCTCTGCACTCCAGCCTGGGCAACAGAGTAAGACCTTATCTAAAAAAAAAAAAAAAGGCCGGGCGCGGTGGCTCAAGCCTGTAATCCCAGCACTTTGGGAGGCCGAGGCGGGTGGATCACGAGGTCAAGAGATCGAGACCATCCTGGTCAGCACGGTGAAACCCCGTCTCTACTAAAAAAAATACAAAAAATTAGCTGGGCATGGTGGCGCGTGCCTGTAATCCCAGCTACTCAGGAGGCTGAGGCAGGAGAATTGCCTGAACCCAGGAGGCGGAGGTTGCGGTGAGCCGAGATCGCGCCATTGTACTCCAGCCTGGGTAACAAGAGTGAAACTCCGTCCCAAAAAAAAAAAAAAGAAAAGAAAAATAATTATGTGAGCAGGTTGAACACAGAAAATTGTGTACAGAACACATTATGGGTGATTTTCAAAAGGGATTTATTTATTTATTTTTGAGACAGGGTCTCGCTCTGTCACCCAGGCTGGAGTGCAGTGGCACACTTACAGCTCACTACAGCCTCGAACTCCTGGGCTCAAGCCAGTCCCCCACCTCAGCTTCCTGAGTAGCTGGCTGGCTTTGGATCCAGATGCCTGGGTTGGAAGCCCTTTCAATGTATTTGTCACTCCTGTGCTAGGGGAATTTTAAGAGGTGGCTGGGGCGGGAAGACACTGAGGATCTGAGCTGAGTGTTAAGCAGAGAGGAGTGTAAGGGCTCTGTGGGAAGAGGGGAGTTGGGTAGGATGGAATCAAGCAGATCCGTGCCAGGAATAGCACAGAAAAGGCTGTGGGAGGCAGCGGGCTCAGAGTCTCCAGGCCTTGGCCAGGTGTGGTGGCTCACACCTGTAATCCCAGCACTCGGGAGGCTGAGGCAGGCAGATTACCTAGAGGTCAGGAGTTCGAGACCAGCCTGGCCAACATGCTGAAACCTCATCTCTACTAAAAATAGAAAAATTAGCCAGGCATGGTGGCATATGCCTGTAATCCCAGCTACTTGGGAGACTGAGGCAAGAGAATCTCTTGAACCTGGGAGGCAGAGGTTACAGGGGGCCGAGATCAAGCCACTGCCCAATGAGAGCCATGGACTTTTCCCAAGAGGCACTGGGGAGCCATGGAGGTCTTTGAGTGGAGGAGCGACCACAACATATAAAAAGCAGCACTTTACAAAGATGCCTCTCGGGGGACGCCTGGAGAAGGGGGAGGCTGGAGGCTGCTGCTGGGGAGGCTCACCTTGAGTCACGGCACCCCCTCGGGCTGGGAGCCAGTCCAGGGGTTTTCTCTAGACAGTGCTCAGCCCAGAAGGAGGTCAAGAGTGCTTTAGCCAGAACCAGTCTTTCCCCAGGGTGGACCTGCTACCACTAGATGGTATTAAGGCGATGTGGTCAGGATATTATCCGCTGCAGAACCGCATCTCAGGAAAGGGATTCCTTCTTCAGTTCCATCATTGTAGCAAGGAAAGCTCCCATTAGATGCTAACAGGACTTGAACACCTCACATACCTGCTGTTCTCCCTAGTACAGGCTTCCAGCTCATGGTTGGACTCAGGAGGACCAAGTACGGTGGTTTCTTTTTTTTTTTTTCTTTTTTGAGACAGGGTCTCTCTCTGTCGCCCAGGCTGGAATGCAGTAGTGCAATCTCAGCTCACTGCAGCCTCTGTGTCCTGGGTTCAAGTGATTCTCCTGTCTCAGCCTTCTGAGTAGCTGGGATGACAGATGCCCGCCACCACACCTGGCTAATATTTGTATTTTTAGTAGAGACAGGGTTTTGCCATGTTGGCCAGACTGGTCTCGAACTCCTGACCTTAAGTGATCCTCCTACCTTGGCTTCCCAAAGTACTGGGATTACAGGTGGGAGCCACCATGCCTGGCTGGTGGTTTACTTTTATTGTGTTTATTTTTGCAGTTACCTTGAATTTACTGGAAATGATACATTTCCATTACACTTTCTTATTAATGCAGGTGACACAGTTTCCTTTTCAACAAATTTGCCTTAAAAGAAAAATCTGAAGCTGGGTGCAGTAGTATGTGCCTGAAGTCCCAAATACTCAATAGAGCCCAAAAGTTCAAGACCAGCCTGGACAACATAATGAGCTAATTTAAGAAAACTATCAAATGTGGCCGGGTGCAGCGGCTCACACCTGTAATCCCAGCACTTTGGGAGGCTGAGGTGGGTAAACCTTAGGTCAGGAGTTCGAGACCAGCCTGGCCAACATGGTGAAACCCCATCTCTACTAAAAATACAAAAATTAGCTGTGTGTGGTGGCGGGTACCTGTAGTCCCAGCTACTCAGGAGGCTGAGGCAGGAGAATTGCTTGAACCCCAGAGGCAGAGGTTGCAGTGAGCCAAGATTGCACCACTGCACTTCAGCCCAGGCAATACAGTGAGATTCTGTGTCAAGAAAAACAAAGAAAAATATCAAATGTAATAGTATAGAGTAAGAGAAAAATCGAGAAGATGGGCTGTGAATGACTGATGTGTGGGAATCGCTCTTTTAAGAAGACCCAATGCATACAAAAATTAGCCGGGCATGGTGGCAGGTGCCTGTAATCCCAGCTACTTGGGAGGCTGAGGCAGGAGAATCACTTGAGCCCTGGAGGCGGAGGTGGTAGTGAGCCGAGATCGCACCATTGCACTCAGGCCTGGGTGACAGTCAGACTCCATCTCAAAAAATACATGAGGAAGGAAAGAAAGGAAGGGAGGGAAGGGAGCAAGGGAGGAAGGAAGGAAAGGAGGAAGGAAGGGAGGAAAGAAGGAAGAAAGGAAGGAATAAGGGAAGGAAGGA